TCGTCTTTTGAAAAAGTAATTTAAACTAATCAATCATTAATCTGCTTTCAACTGTACAGCATAATCAATTTCAATAATTCTAAATTATTAAGCCCCTTCATGTTATATTATCTATTATAATAGAATAACAATTTGATTCTGATTTTTTTTTTTTTTAGTGGGGTAGAGAGAGAGAAAGAGATAGTCTCAATAGACCAAGAAGTAGCAACATCTAAGGCTAAAAAGGAAACAAAGGAAGAAAGTTCTGGTAGTCCTCTGGTTTATTGGACCACAAGTGAGAATCAGACAGGTAAAAACATGTTTAAATTTGCAAAGAGGGTGGGGGCAGTCGCTCCAGGCCCCCATGAATTTTTTTAAAATTAGGAAAACATGCAAAAGGGAAATATATATTCAAATTTATAATCTGAATGTGCCATTTCCGGCCATCTGGAGGTGCCATAAAACGAGTCAAATGGCTGAGCGGTTAAGGCAGAGCTGCGCAGCCTACATCCATAATATCGGCGCTGGTTTGAATGGCACGCTCGTTTATAGTTCTGGAGGTGGAACAAGTCTTCTCGAGATAAGAACTATAAACCATAGGCCCAGTGTACACAGTTGGCTTATGTGCACTTTTAAAGAACCCACTACATCCTTCGAGACATGTAGGGGGTTACTCTGGTGTACTGGACCACCTCACAGCCCCTGTCACTGTGGACTCATCCAGATACTGAATAGGCGTTGATGAGTAACAGAATAGAACTAGACAAGTTTAGACCCTCCACCTGCAAAAGTTCCTCCTCTATTTAAAATTCTTGGATCCACCACTGACTTGACTATTGTATCCAATTTGTATCTGAAATTTGTCTCCTAAAGCATGAATTTTAAATAAATGTTGGGCCTTCTATTTCTGATTGACAATCATTGCTGATATATACATACCAAGTAACCATGTCATGAGATTTAATACAAAGTGTATATGATAGGTAGCATACAGTACAAACAATCTAAAATGTTGTGAATAAGCTTTGGGTTAAAATGAAGAAGGTACTGATTTACATTCCGTGGTTGCGAGAAGTCCTAGCTTTTTCCCCTTGGCACAAATAAATTGGTAGGCATGAGAATTAAGTCATTGCCTGAACAAACTAAACCTTCTGTTCTTCTACTTGCAGTTAAGCTGGATCCAAGTGAGTTGAACTATCTTGCGCCAACACCAGGCGAGTTTTTCGTCCCATTGTTCAGTTCATCGATGAAAGGTTAGTTCATATTATATATTTATTATTTTTATATACTTTTATATACACCATAAATATCAGTACAGGGGAGTGGTTGCAGATCATTTGGTACCTGGATGTGCTATAACTAAGTTAAGTTTCTTTGTAAGGCTGGAAATTTACTTTTGAATGAAATTGAATGGACGGAATTCTTGAAAAGTGCAAATAAACTAGTAAAATGTGTACATGGCAATATGTTAAATTAGAAACATTACTGTATTTATCAAACCATAAATGTCCTCTCTCATGTTTAAGATATTGCTGTTGTTGTACTGTATGTGCTATGATATCTTAGTATTTGTTACAATGTTTTATATGGACAGGTGGTC